AGGGATAGCTGCTGCAATTGAGAGGCTGGTACCCAGTGAAGCGTTGTAACAATCAGAACAGGCTTTCTGTGCCGGAGGCTGGAAATGCTCGGACGTGCAAAATTCGTTTGTCGCCTCTGTGTTATTCTCCTTCCCTGAATCCTCACTACTGAGAGATGGAAAGGAGCAGCTCTGGGTGCGAGAACTCCTCTCTTTATACCACTTGAGTAAAAGAAACAAGGTTTCGAGAAACATGAATGCGCTTACTTAACATAATAGACAGAGAGAAAAATGACAACAAGAAACGCGTCTGCAACAGGAAACGCGTTTGCGATCAGAAGCTGCTTTTTCTTTTAAAAGAGGTACGTAATTTACTTATCTGCCGCGCTCTAAAATTAAAGGACGTTTGGCCGATCTTGATATTGCCATGGTAAAACTATTGAAATTTTGACTGAATTGTATATCCATTTTCTTGATTGTGCACAGTTTATCTTTTAATGTAATACTTATGACCATCATTATTTTACTCAAACGCCGAAACAAATGAAAATCGAGGTCAAAATGAGATTAATAATAATTCCAGTCTTTTTGTGTTTTTGTTTTTTTTCTTCGATCTTGTTACTAATGGAGGCCAAGCGGAACTAGGAAAATGAAAAGAAACGTCACAATTAATAGAATTATTAGGGTTCTTCCAAGCGTGAGATCACGTTCCGAATATATTAGTTTGAAAATTTCCTGTTTGGAGTTATCAGTCGACCCATAACCTCCAGTCGAAATTCGACACTCCCGTTAAACTGATTTCCAGCGTGGAAGGGAAAATGAAAGAGTTAACGACTTTGGTAGGTATTATGATAAATTAATTGAAAAGTCGTCAGTTTAGCCTACGGTTGAAGGTGCAGTACATTTATTTTTAGAAAAGCTCTCTCATTTCGTTTCAACATACGTTGATTTGGTCATATTTTGAGGAGACCTGCTGCTCCATTTTAATGTTCAATAGATTTTATTTTGCCAACCATGGGAGGGGAATGTTTAATCTATGATAGAAAGCTTACAATATGCAGCTAAGATGTTGCGATCTTCATGACGGGTACTGTTTACATCATGAGGAGAGCGATGAATCGTCGTCATATCTGTCCTTCATCCCAAGAACTACAACTCTGGGAAATAATTATAGTTCTGGATTTGCGTAGAGAGTGCAAGACAAAATGACTAACGAATTTTGAAACGATTCGAAACAGTGTTTGAAAAAAAAACTCTTGGTTATAATTTCGTTATTTACTCCTGTTTTGGATAAAAAGCTTTTAGTAATATGCTAGTTTTTTAATTGCGTCTGTTTATCTACCTACGTAGGCTGATTATTCAGCAAAAAAAAAAAAATCATGTTTAAAGATGTGCTGTAATTTCAATGAGGGAAAATTCGCTTTTAACCAATATAATCTGTTGTAATGACAGCCCGTGAGGCAACTTAACAGCTGTCAAAGTAATATGAGAGCCATCATTAACAATAACTTAGTATTACCCAACAGGTGCAATATTGTTAACTAGAAAATTATTGATAGCCGACAACAAAATGGAACTCAACCAGTTGGGCATAAGATAAAATATGGACTGGATCACTAGATCCTTGGACTTTTGGACTATTTTTTGGACTAATTTTTGGAACATTTATTGGGAGGAGGTAGACCATTAGTACTAAGGGAGGGGCGCGATGCGGTCTATCAGTGCTCAGAGAGGGGTGCATGGGAGGCAAACTGTCGTTACTGAGGGAGGGGTGGAAGACGAACTATTAGTACGCAGGGAGGGGTGGGAGGTTGTTGTATTAGTAAATGCTAATGATTAATGGAGTTTTTAATGGATTATTCAAATTATTTTGAGCGGTTTTTCGACTTACTATTTTAGGTCAAAATTTTTGCGCTGGCTCGTAGCGTTTCTTTATTTTTTTTTGTCACGCGAGTGCGAAACTGGCACCCAAACACTGGACTATAATTGTTATTGAAAATATCGCTAATTTCCGTTTTCGATCCTCCACTGTTGGGTCACGCGTGTACCTTTTAAGTCGACTTGTGCCAGCGCTTAATGATACACGCTGGTTACCATGAATCATCCACTAGTTGCTTCACGTTTTCCTTGGTGAATACAGTATATCATGACCAAAAATAAAGAAACGCTACGAGTCAGCGCAAAAGTTTTGACATAAAAATAGTCAGTCGAAAAACCGCTCAAAATAATTTGAATGATCCATTAAAAACTCTATTGATCAGTATCATATAAACACTTTTAGAGAAAAACTACGTCATTTCAGATGAGTCAGTCATGTATTTACCCCCTTTTTTGGTAATCAAGGTTTTATCTCTCTTGCTTAGCACAGCATATAAAATGTTTTGACTCCCTGCCTCAGCCGTAAGCGGAAGACGCCTTGTGTTTCAGTAGCAAAATCTTATTTCCTTTAGTATCACATATTCCAGAAGCAAAGAGTATCTCGGGTTTTAAAGAATGGCATTTTTCTCTTGATCATTTCCATTAGAACATGAAGTTTTAATTTAGCTACAAAATTGTCTGGCTTGTGCGATGAGTTTACTTTTGAGATCTTAAAACTTGCATTAACCCTTAACACCCTAACATCAGAATCTATATTCTCCGTACTATTCACTATACATTTCCCAAGGTGCTGACAAGGAGAATTTGTTTGATAATCAAGAGCTACTTTAGTTGGTGATCATTTCTTCCATTCTCATTACCTAGATGTTTGGTTCAAGAGTGATGTTGTAAGGAGAAATTAGATGCTTGTCACTCTTAGGGGTTAAAGGCTTAAAAGCTTCATTTTGTTTTTGTTTCACACAGAAAGAACTGAATGAGCTTCTTGAAAGTAGCGGAGTCAAGTTGGTCGTAATCGACTTTTTTGCCGATTGGTGTGGTCCTTGCAAGATAATGGGACCTAAGTTTGAGGTATTCGAATATCGAAAAAATTTCTTTCATAAAAACTTAAAGGGATTAGCGTAGTGTATCTAATGCAAGTAAGCAAACCTCAGTGATACAGTCATAAAGGGTCTGAAAATTTGTGCCAAAGGCTTCTAACAGATTAAGGCTTTTTCCTTATCTTCTATAATTCTGTCACGCACACCGTCCTTTCCGGGACAAGGGTAACTGGGTTACAGAGTTCATGGGGTGCCTGTGACTCCGTACACGTCTTAAAATAAAATGTCTCTTGTTAATGACCTGTTATGCTCCCAATCTTCAGTAAGAGCCTGGTAAAGGGTCCTTCCGCCCCCACCCTACCCCCAAACTATTTTTTTTATCTATTGTGCTGTTGATTATCATTTTTTCATAGGAATTGGCCATGAAGTTCCCGGATGTTGTATTCGCCAAAGTAAACATTGAGAGGGGAAAGGTATGCATGAGAGGAGGGTTGACAACCAATGAGGTGCACTGTCACTCGCGAAGATATGATTTTCCGAATGATGTAATCCTTATTTTTCAGATTCTTGGTCTATATTTTGATATGTCATGAGAGGATTCATTTTCTCGCAGCCACAGCATATTGCATGAGCCTCTTTATCACTGATTGACATATCAATTTTTCCTCCTTTTATCGTCCGGTGGAAATGTTGCCTTTCCCTTTTTTTGCACAGTTTTTGCGTTCACTGGAGAGGTCAGTTAAGCATTTATCGGGATTACGAATGAATGCGCAGGAAATGAACGACTTTGTCGCATGCGACGTACGACACGAATTGTTTCGTGTAAATCCTACAACTCGTGAGTCATGTCGTAAGCTTGTCGCATGCGAGTCGTGCCGTGTAAAAGGCTAAGGAAAAGGTGCGATCGTATGCAGTTTAGTAAGAAATGAATGGAAATAGGTATTCCAATTGGGAAACTGAAACGCTTTGCTGAAAATAGCCTGACCTTCACCAATAAATAAAAACCAACTGCAAGCAAACCAGAACAAGTATGACCGGAAATAAATTTGAGGAGTTGGTTCCAGTCTTTCAGCTCCGGTCATAAGTGCTGATAAGTTAGCAGGCGGCCAAAATGCCATTAACTTGACAACTTGAATTTGAAATCAATTATATATTTTTCAGGAGCCAACCAAACATTATAGTATTACCTCTATTCCACATTTCAAGTTTTTCAAGGAAAAAAAGGTAATTAACACAAAATTATTTTATTGAATATCATTTGCTATACTGATTTATCCTCACTGATTTCCTTTTTTTACTAATTTTAGGAAGTGGATAACCTCAGAGGCGCTGATGAAACAATTCTTACACAAAAAATTGAAAAATGGCAGTAATCGTGGAGTTGATTTAAAAAGTGAACACATTTTTGATTAGAGAAAATTATTTGTACTGAAAGAATATCCTACTTGAGATTTATTTGTGATCCAGCTTTTGAATTAATATTGGTCGATGCTTTAGCCTGTACATTTTGAGTCCATCTATTTATTTCATGTAGTTGTAAAGGGTTGATACAGTAAACTAGATCCATCTGCCGAAGAAAAGTTGGTTGATTAGCCTTTGCTGTAATATCATTTTTTTCAATTTTCAGTCTCACCTTAGTTGTCACTTAGATCAAGCTGATGCGATTTTTTCATTTTTAGCATTTAACCCTTAAAGGCCCAAGAGTGACTGATATTTTATCTCTCCTTAAAGTATTACCCTTAAATCGATTGTAAAGATCATGAGAAAAAAGGAAATGATCACCAACTCAAGAAACTCTCACCGCTTATGTCAAAATTTGAAATATCATCGTCACAGGTTTTCGTTAATTTAAACACACGTTACTCTGTTGACAAGTTTAACGACCCTGTGTTTGAATTGAATTGAAGGCAACTGCCTGTCTGTGTAAATACATCTATTACGTACATAGAGAGAACAAATCATGAACATTGAAAACCCTGAAAAAGTACACCACACCAGAAATCACCTTTGCTTAGCCTTTTGTATTTTTGTTTATATTCCCTAATAGCATCCAGTAATTATTTGCAGTTGGTCCGTATGAAACGACATTATTTTCTCGTCCAATCAAAAGTGGACTGTATGCTGGACACAAAATATAATTGGCGCAGCTTTTCCGGCGTAAGCGTCTCTTTCTTTTTATTCTTTGCAATAAAAATGCACTGTATTTTTTCAACCGGAAAACACCTGGACTTAGATTAACGAAAACAGCAACAACACAAATTTCAGCGCGGAGCAACCGTTTTCTCAGAGAGAAACCAAGATTTTTGTGAGCCCCAGAAGTTTAAATATTGAGGGATTTCATTTTGCAAGGCATAGAGGTGAGTTCTTTTGAAAAACAATGGTGTAGGTTTTTGCATTTCCGGCCGGCCTACGTCCGCTGAAGCTAAATGTTGATATTTTTATTATTTCATGTTCATATAATTCAAGATATATTTATTTCGTACGGGCTGGTTGCTCTATATAGGTATTAAATAATGACAGTTTGAATTTTCGAAATAATTTAGCCGTTTCTCTTTCAATTCCAAAGCAAAAAGCTTCACGAAATGTGAATTCTTTATGTGATTGAAAAAATGCAAACTGCAGCAGCCAAAGATGAAATTTGAATAAAATTAACTGTAGTAATGCCTCTGACATCTTTAATGATCTTTCCTTCGCGGTAAGTACGGTATATATTTTGCATAAATTTGCTACACATTTTTAAAACAAAATGTCATGCAAACCGAAGCGACGGAGAAGAAAAATTAAACGCAATGTTTCATCGGCATTTTATGGAAAATCTTTCCGAAATTTACCTCTTTGCTTTTGGTAAATACGTGACTGACTAGTCTAAAATTTAACTCATTTCAACCTGGCAGGGTGCGAAACAAATTCATTTTTAGAAATAAAAGCAGCGCGAGTTTGGTTTTAGTTGAGTCGATCGATCATATCAATGTTATTTCCCTCAAATATATTCATACCAGAATTCCTTATCGAGTTAATTTATTGATTTAACTAATACCTAAACGTTGCTCTGTGAATATTATTTTCTAAGGTGCATCATTCTTATTCAGCAATTATTTATTTTTAAAATCATGAATTCCTTACAAAAATAGAAAAAAGAAGAAAATGGCAAGTTAAATGCGTACATTCAACTTTCCTTATTTAAATCTTACTACTCATTCACTAAAGGAAAGGAGACTCGATTGCGATTGGCTCCTAAAACAATGGCTAACCGGTGGTAACGACACCAATTAAATATCAACACAGAAAGTTCCTCAGTGAATATATATAATGGAGAGAAAATTGAACTTTGATTTGAAACTCTTCGGTTGCATCTAAATCAAATTAGTTAACATTTTCGTATCGACTCGCTCTGCACTTGTGATTTCCTCGGTTTTTATTTTTTTTCTGCTGTTGTCGCTCGAGCTTACTTTATTTCGGCTCTTCGTTATTGAATGTAAACCTCCATAATTATTTCCTTCGTGTACACCTGCCTGTAATTTCCCCTACTCTTTCACATTAATGTCCATTTGTTTTTGGTCGCTTCCGATCATTCGTTAACGTTCTTGTTATAAATCAAACGCGAACCGCCAGTCGTTCGTTTTAAGATCGGTTATTGGTGTTCTACTTTCCTTTTCATTCGTAACTCTACTCTGTTATGCTGTTTACTGAAATGCAGTTCAATTATCAAGTTCATCACGTTACGATACGCTTAAAACATATTTTTTCGGTTTTCAAAAAAATCCTTGCGAGTTTCTTTTTTATATTTCCATCATCGTCTTTCTTGGTGACAATTTATTGATTCTGTATGGAGAAATTACAACCCCCCCCCCCCCCCCCACATACACACTCACTCACACCATCCTCTCATCCTCTAAACCAATCACATGCGGAGCTAAAAACAGTCGCGACTAGTTCACCCGCGTTTTCCCGCGCTTCAAGCAATTTGCTTGTTTTTATTTTAAGTAGTGATTGGTTCCTTCTGACATTAACCTTTGACCTGACTGGCCGTTGTGATTACTTTAGTTTGGAATTCATGTAGTCAAACTTAAATGTCTCTAACATGCAATTAAGAAGACCTTTCCTGTTAATCAATGAAATGATGAAAGCAGATGAAAACGTCATAATAGTTATCAATGGTAATATCTACAGTTGCTTAGTGAGGTTATTTTTAATCCTAATAAATAAACATTTAAAGAGACATTAATAGTTGGCGGGATCATTAGTTGATCCAATACCAAAATCTCCCAACTAACATCCCAAGAATTGTACGGCAGACAGTACGGAGAATTACTTGTGAGATCGGGAGTGAAAGGGTTAAAAACTAACTGATTTTTCTTCAAGTTTAGCCAAAATAAAAAATTTGTATAGTTTCAAATGGTAAAATGACCCGAAAGGAATAATAATGATCTAAAACAGATCAAGAAGGGAGAAATTTGAAAAGATTGCAAACCACAAACTTGAGAACGGTTCTTCAATATTCACAGACAGTGACGTAGTTACCTTTAAATCACATGGTAATCTTTTATGTTTGTTCATGCACCGCCTGTTCCGCATTCGACAAACAACACGCTAATTTTGTTTCCCTTCAAGACTGTCACTTTTCTAATAGGTTTACAACAAAATATCATAACTTTTCAGCAAATATTACGAAGAAATGGAGTTCACCAATAAGGTGAGTTATGTTTTTCATTAGTAATAACTAAAATACGACAGATAAATAACTTAAATCTCGGTTATTTATGGGAATTCAGCTGTTAACTCAATATCGGGTAATAAGCCGTCTATTTGAACACTCCACACCAAACGATGGGCTATGAGTCTAGACAACGGAGAGGTTTTTGATTCTGAAGTTCGCATTCATGAGGGGGAAAAAGCTGAAATTTTAAAGAGCCGCGGATTTCAGACTTTCGTGAGCGATTTGGAAACCAAATTTGCATTGTTAACTTTCGATTCTATTCCTTGTTCTCGCCTATTTTATTTATTATCATTGAGTCAAAACATCGATAAATTGAAATTTAAACGAGTTTTCAGTTTGATGAAAATGACGCGTTTTTCATTTGAAACAAACTTTCAATGTAAATTGATATTTAAAAGTATATCGAATTAAATCTACTCAGTTATGTATCTAGGTCAAATTTTTATATTTTTATGCATAATTAAAATGTCAGCCACATCATGAGTTCTCATCACATCACGTCTGTATATATGATAAATTTCCTGCTTAAATGCTAAATGCTAACATGTCGTATCCAAACTTGAATTTATTTACAATTTACTGAGTATTTTAACATGATTCGTGTGCACGCGAACGAGATTAGTGAAATGTTTTCCGTGACTTTTGGCGATTTAAATGTACGAAGGATGTCGGACTCGTCTCCAGTCATCTTTCATTTGTCTATGGAAGAGTACGAGTGAGACGGGAATGAGTCTGATTGATACGCAACGAAGGAGATGGCGGGAAAGTATTTTCTTCCCATATCTCGTTGTGCGCCTATGCAGAGATAACTTGAAGAAAAATTCACCAACTAATCACGCTAATATTTAGTTCATGTACAAATCATTTATTTTGTTTTTTTTTCTTCTTTGAATAGGACGAGTATGAACAATTCCTAAAAAGTCCAGATAACAAAGATAAGCTGATAGTGATCGACTTTTATGCGGATTGGTGTGGTCCGTGCAGAAAAATCAAACCAGCTTTCAGGGTGAGTGATGAGATAAAGAACGGACGTTAGAAGAGCACGGGGGGGGTTTAAGATACATGTGAACCGTACCCCTCTCCTCTGGTATAAAAATTTGGAACGAAAGGTACCTTGATTTTCTTCTGAATTCCAATATAACGGTGACATTTAAGTCCCCAGCTCCACCCCCTTACCCCACTTTTTTTTTTATCGTGGTTTCGTCATTCTTCGGTTTGTGACTGTATTAATGAGATATTGACAGATGTAGTTGCTCCAAATAGTGTATATGTGTGAGGGCGGAAATTTGCGCCCAAAAGATTGGTGTAAAAAATTTGCATTTTCTTTTAACAGAAACTCGCTGCCAAGTTTACTGATGTAGTCTTCGCAAAAATTGATGTTGACGAAGCTGAAGTAAGTGAACAACTATTAAACAGAAAGACACAAACAGTGAATAAAAAAAAAAGTTTACTTTAATGATAGTTGATATTAGCAAACAGTGACGATGTGACTAAGATGACATTTATAGTCAAGATTACATATGACGACACGTGATAACACCTGACAACACGTTTCTTTAGCTCAGTGGTAGAGTATCGGAGCGCAAAGTCCGAAGTTTTGATGTTCCATTCCTCGTGAGAGAATCAGATGTTTTTCTTTGTTCTGTGATCTTGATAAAAAGATAAACAGCATTCTTTAAGGTGTTGTTGCTGTCTCTATTTTTCTGTTGGTAAATGACATCAATATGTCATGATAGCCTTGGATGGGGAAAAAGGGCAGGTCATTATGCGTTAGATGTGTATTGTTTTGTCTTTGTAGGCCATAGCCGAGGCGGAAAACGTAGAAGTCATGCCTACTTTTGTTTTTTACAAGAATGGAAACAAGGTAATCGAAACAAGGCACTTAAAGAAGAACTTACACGAGTTTTAATACAAGTGACAAAATAAGTGGGCATGCTCAGCTCGCGTGAACAGAGACAATCATTGCGCAAAATGACTGCCGTCTGAAAAGTCTCACTATTCAAGTAGGCCGACACTGGCCGCGCATGCACATTTATTTTTTCCGCTGTGCTGTTTTACCTTCTAAAACACAGGCATGTGTTTTTCGAACGATAATGGCGATAACAAAAAATTTTGGGCATGCTAACGTTATATGATACCTCTCGCTTAAAGTTCAATGTCTTTAACCCTCTAACCCTGAGGGCGACAAGCATCTCATTTCTCACTACGGTATCACTCCTGAATAAAACATTAGGCTCGTGAGAATTAAGCATATGATCCCAAATTTGAAAAGCTCTTGATTTTCATCTAAATTCTCCTTGCCAATTCCATAAGAAATGTATAGAGAACAGTATGGAGAATAAAAATGCTGATATTAGGGTGTAAAAAGTTGACTGAAACTATTTGCTTTGTTTTTCTTTTTATTCCAGTTACATTCATTCAGTGGATCAAACGAAAAGGACTTAGAAGAAAAAATAAAAGAACTTAAGTAGTATTCTTTCCTACATTTAACAAGGACAAAATTAAAAACTTTCCTTTTCTGTTATGACAATATTTTGACCGAAAGAATCACTCATATATTGATTTTAATGGAACCTAATGTTGTCGATGTTATTGTTGTAACTTTTGTGGAAATTCGAAACATGATTTATGATTTATATTGAGTTTGTACCTAAGATTTTTATTTTGTATCTGGGTCAGGATAACCAAAGCGAACTGGGACCTAACTTGTGCTGATGACTCACCAAACACTCTCAGTTCGTCTCAACATTTTATACGCAGACCCGCTGACGAAATCCCATCTCACTTTCCTTACCTCAGCCCTAGAGTTTCAGTAGTAAAACTCGTTTCTCCTTTGTTTTTCCGTTGTCGTGATGGCGGCAGCACAATATGCGATCATTTTGAAAACAGAGAAAGACTGGGTGACTTGTTTGGGTTCAGGGAAGGGGTGTGGGTAGGTGGAGAGAGGGGTTGGGGCTGCTGAAGTAGAACGGGGGGGGATGGAGATGGAGAGTTTCTTTCAGAGTCTGAAATTTACGTCTTTTACTTCTGCTCCCTTATATCTCTGTCTACGTTTCCAGTCATGAACCAGGGAGAAAAAAGAGAAAAGGAATGCATGAGAAAATTGAGGAGGTAGAGAAAACACATGGAATGCGCGCAAAAATGAAGACGAGAAAAAGTAATGGCGAGGGTATACTTAGTTTAGGGGTTTGGAATGGGGTGGGGTCACGAGGAGACTCCTTGCAATTGGAAGAGAAGCACGAGGAATCACACCAAGGGTGTGTGCACAGGGGCGAGGTGCGGAGAACTGAGAACGACCGAGAAACTGAGAACGGGGAACGTAAGATGTCTTTGGGGCAACCATAGAGTAACCACGCAGAGAATGCATCGAAAAAAGTTAATTCACGTCATGAAAATGGCACTAAATAAATGTCGTTTTAATGGTCACATATTACAAGAAATGGCTCAAGTAAAGAACCGAAAAAGGTGATTTATTCTTGCTTTGATGAGATTCTTTGTTCTAAATAATTACAAACTTTTTTCTTATCGTTCTGGAGGAATGAAAGTGTCATCAATTTGATCCGTCATATTGAAAATGACATGGGGATTGTTTCAAGGCGTACTGCCAAACTTCTCAGAACGTTCGGATGAGGTACTTACTTCAACTTGAAATCGCTCAGGCTTAAAAGAATCTTCACTCTAATTGATCAAGAATTTCGATATTCCTATAGTTTTATTGAGAGGTAAGTGAGCGATCATTTATAGGTCTAAAACAATAGGCGAGCTTACGAGAAAACTTAAAACAATATTACAAAAACACCTCAAAAAGACCTTAAATGAGGGTGAAGATTGGGGGATAGAGTATTTAGACATTAGATTTCAAAGTTCTTTGTCGTAATACCTAAGGCGAGTCTAGGAATTAGGAAACGATAATTGTATGGTAAGTATCGAAAAAATTTTTTAAAATTTTTGAGAGAAATCACTACTGAAAAGCTGACACCGGAAAAGGGAGATTGAACGTGAACGTGCCAGTATGGTCCAAGACGAGAATTACGGCATCGCTTTCAAATTCTCTCTTTTGTGATGATCACGGAGAAGGGGAGGTATCTGTGAGAGACTTGTGGCAGTTGTATGTGCGTTATGCATTGTAGTAAACCGACTTCGAATCGTTGCCTGAGACTATGGTCATGTTAACAGTGCCACACCTACTCGGCCTTAAAAGATGCACACCGTCATATAAACACGCCACTTCTTCATGTAGTTCTATTTCAAGGTTTATTGCATAGTAGTCGAAGGTTTATTGCATAATAGTAGAATGCATAGTTTTATTGGAGTGGAGCAACATTAATTCTCCAGTAAACATCACGTCATTTTTAAGAGCCGTAAGCTGAAACATTTCTCCAGCTGATGATTACTCTAAAGGATACACTTACACTCCATAGAAACTACACGCATAGATTCTTAAACACGCTCGAAAACTGTCGTGGAATCGCTATTTTCGTGCGTGATCCGCGACTTGCGTGTTTTCGTTGGTGCGAGGGAACTGGGATTAATAACAATTCAACATGGAAGCCTTCTGAAGTTGATAGCTGGAGCGTCGACTGTCTTGAGGAAATTCAAGCTTGTTTTCAACTAAATGCGGATTATCTACGCGGCTGGCGTTTAGGAACTGTTTTTTCTAGATTGGGGTCGTCTGAACATAAGGTTCATCCCAGGAGTGGCTGCAAAACAGAGTAATGAAGATCACGGTAAACAAGCTTTCACACTACTTAGTGATCAAGCTTAGTACCGCGGAAAGAAAAATTAGGTAAACATTACATTTGCCAGAGGTAAGCATAATTTTAACAATACTGGATGTAGCATAATGATTTGTTTTGTTAGTTGGTATATGAGGCTTTATCAAGGAAAATATTGGTCAGGGCTTGCGGAAGGTTTCGTAATTTATTCAGCGCGATATTCAAAATATTATTTACACCACGTGCACGAGGTTTACTGTTTCGAATGAATATCGCATCAAGTGGAAACCACATTTCAGGTTGCTGCTGGCAAAAAAAATAAAAAGATTTAAAATAAAAGTAAATGAATAAATAATAAGATAATAAACCCACAAGAGATCATTTTTAAGGTGTTGAAAAAAGGGTTTAAAAAATCAGGTTTTCCAAGTACTTCATCAAAATACTACTTTCGCTTTTTCTTTGTGCCAAAGAAATGTCATATTGTAGAAAACCTCAAAATATAAACATGGAAAGAGACGAAAATACCTAAGATTAAATGATAGATGAATCAAGAGCCTTGATGATCGAGGATGGAGAAGATTGACTTAGATTACAATTGATACAGCAAGAATATCTCTTTAATAATTTATGTATACAATTCTCAAGTACAAGGTGAGAGGAGAAACATAAACCAGAAAATTGATCCTTAAAGTTTGGAGCTTTAACCCTTTAACCCTTTCAATCCCAATATATAATAACTAATCCTTCATACTGTCTGTCATACAATCTTTTGATATTAATTGGAAGAATTTAGTATTGGATCAACTTAAAGTCCCCTAGATTATATTTTGCTTTATTCTCATCACTTTTCTTCTTGATATGTGTTGATATTGTATGGAGAAGTTTTCTCTTGGTCACTCATGGGAGTAAAAGGGTTAAGCCCCAAGAGCGATCGGCTTATAATTTCTCACTACAGTATCACTCCTTAATCAAACGTTAAGGTCATGAGAAGGAAAGAGATGATCATCAACCAAGGGATTCAATTATTTTGTTAAAAGTTTTTGGTAAAAAAAAACTCTTCTGATTGAGACCTTATGTAAGCTTCATCAAGTTGTCTTTCTTAAAATTCTATCATTAAAACTTGGATATTTGACAGTAATTTTCATTTGTCAAAATTTTTTTCCAGTAATGAATGTTAATCATTCATTGCAGCAAAGAATGATAATAATAGTATAATAGTAATGATAATGATAGTAGTTATGTGTTGTTTTTGTAATTTTACAGACCTCCAATTTTTATTTTAGAAAGAGAAAGACTTATATAATAACCATACAACAAACTTTACTTTGGGTCTATTGCATAAATCCAAAAAGTACATCAGAAACCATATGATTTTTATCTCTGCCCTTAAAAATAATACATTAATTACAAATAACGATATCAAACTGACCAGAATCCACAGGGGATGCTAATTTTTTTAGCACATATGAAGAATATTTTTGAATGTCCATAAAGTTTGCTTAGGTTTAAAGATGAATCATTTATAAGGCAAAAAAGTACATTTAAAAAGTAAAAACAATATGTTTTGTGACACTAGGTCATCATCAGGGTTATCTTTTAATGATTTTATAGCTGTAGAAAGTTTGCCTGTTCCTTTAGCTTTATGTACTCAATTGTCTCGTGTAATTCAACAGATAGATTGGTACAAGAGAACAAGCCTTGGAAAGACAAGCCTTGGTACTTGGATTGTAAACAAGCCATGGAAAGATGAGCTTTGGTTGGTGGCCTGTGAACAAGCCTTGGTACATTAACTGTGGACTAGGATTGGTGCGTGGGCATTGGACAAGTCTTGGATGGTGGCCTGTGGTCAAACCTTGAAGGGTGATCTTTGGACAAACCTGGGTGTGTGGACTGTGGATAAGCCTTGGTATTTGGCCTCTGTGCAAGTTCCAGTGAGTGGCCTGTGGAATAGTCTCAGTTGGTGGCCTGTGGACAGGCCTTGGTACTTGGCCCATGGATAAGTCTTGGTGGACAATGGACAACCATGGATCTTGGATCAGAGTGGTCGTCTGATGAGGCTGAATGATAAATGATAAACCAGAAGGAAAAAATGCAACAGGTAAGATATAAACATTTTTGTTTCCTGTACTGGACATTTATAATCAAACAAGACTCAGATGGGTACCTGGAACCCCAAAGACATTTCTTTGTAGCTTGTCATTATGCATGCTTACTCTGCAAATATGATAATGCTGTAGGAACTGTACTCAGATCACAAATGCACTTCCTGAATGTCATGTCATGGTCACTCATTATAGCAATCAATCAATCAATCAATCAATCAATCAATCAATCAATTTATTTAACATGGTCAGAACACTTAGCTAAAAGCTAGTTTACAGGTACGCCACAAAATAAAAAGAGAAAAGGAAATTATAAAGCCTTGTGAAGGTATATAAATTTAAATAAATTAAGATTAAGAACTAGCTAATATTAAAATTATATAAGAATTTAACAATGTAGTCACCAAGTAAAATGTATAAAATGTAATCATTAAAAACAGTAAATATAATCAAGGATAGATCCTCACCGCACTAGAGTCCCGTGAGATCTAATGTTTTTAAGTAATTTTTAATAGTAATAAATGTTTGTATCTTTCGAGACTCGTCCGGTAAAGCGTTCCATAATTTCGATGCAGCATATCTCCATATCTCCATATCTCCAACTGAGCTTGTGCTGACTTCCTCAGCATGAAGCAACTGGGGTCCATTTGTTCAAAGGGCAGATAATACTATCCAACTAATAAATCACTATCCAGTGGATAGTGTTACCAAAACATACTGCACTAGCCACCTTATATAGATTTATCTGTTGGATAGTGTTATGCAATCTTCGAACAGTTGCATCCTTAAGTCTTTCCTGGAGGAAGTGAAGTAAGTCTGTCACAAGTTACACCTCAGCTATTTTCCCCTTAAGTTTCCCTTAAAGTTTGTTGAATGAAGAGGGAGGCACTGGATGAGTAAATTGTCTTGCTCAAGATTCATTGAAAATTGAAGTACATGATTTTTAGTCACTATATCTAAAAACCAACATGAAGCTGATACTAGAGTAAACTAGACCAAAACACTGATCTGTTCCCAGCTTTTGTTGTACCCTTTTTGCCCTTGAAGATGAAAATATAAATTCCTTACAGTTTCTTCCTAACAACAATTATCATTCTAGTGGGGGGAATTTGGTACTTGATCAAACATTATCTCCAAGTTGACATTTCTCTTTGCTCAGCTCCATTTTGCGTAAAATTTTATTGATATTGAACAGAAATGTAGTTCTGGGAGAAACTTCTTTTTCTTCATGAGGGGGAGTTTACAGGTCTGAGACATTATTTTTGAGAAAATTCCTTTCTAATGGGTCAATATGAGATTATGATTGACTTGCTATTTTTGTTGTGGCTGTGATATTCATGTAACATTAAGGGCCTGATGTTGTATGCAGTTAAAGGTCAATGCTAGAAACCCTCAGGAAGTCATGTATACAAGCTAAATAGTGGATTATTTTAGACTAGTTTAGAATTTCTTATGTAAAGGAAATGTTTTTAGCAGGGTTTGGCTAGTGTGTTGTGTTTTTACCTACTTTTTATTTTTCTGTGATTAAAATCAGCATCCTGTCTAGGAAGTAAGAATCTCAGTTTTTTCATGCTTAAAAAAAAAAAGGGATAAGCCCCGGTGGGGTGAGGCACTAAACCTGTATGCTGTTTATTTTTCTTTGATTTAAAAAATTGGAACACTCCTCCATCATCTATTATAGGAATAGGATAAAATTTTTTCGAGTAGAATATTAACAACATCATTCCTATATCTTGTTTCATAGATTTACCAAATGGAAAGTATCACAACTGGACATCACAAGCCAAGCAACAAAGCTGAGGATACTTCAAAGATCAACAACATGGGACTCATCATGGTAAAGGAACCCTGATGACTGGCACTGGAAGCAAGTACAAGATTATTTATCATTTCCATCAATGCTAGATTTAATTTGGGCCCAGCCCGGGAGGTCATTGAATGGGGGTGCAGCTGGCCCGGGGTTTTCCTCCTAGGAGCAAGTGGACGTACAGGGAGGTTTTTCACCCAGCTGTTGTTCCACCACCCCCATTCATTAAGCTCTTTCTTTTTTTGTAGTTCATAATAATGGGAATGTGTGTGTGCCACAGTTGTTCAAACAAGTGCTTTTGGGGTCTCAGGTTCCAGGGCTTAAGTTTTTTGGTCTCAGTTTTTACTGATTTTTGGTCCTAGTCAGCTCAGATTTCTGGGTCAAGGAATTTTTGGGTCCTGGGTTTTTTTTTTTTTGGTAAGTCTTTTAGGTCTTTGTTTATTATAGATTCAGGTGAATGGGCTTAGGCTTTTGGGTTGTAGGTTTTCATTGAATGTCTACTCTCAGAGCTTGGGTTTCTGGGTCATAGGATTTCAGGTCCTGGGTTTTTCAGGTCATGGTAAGTTTTTTGGTTCTTAGGTTTCTTTGGGTTCAGGCTTAATGGGCATAGGTTTATGGGTCTTGCCTTTTTTTCAATCTCTCTAATCTTTTAGCTTAGGTCTCTCTGGGTCATGGGATATTTGGGTCCCGGGTTTTTGGGATGGTGGGACTTTTTGGGTCTAAGATTTCTTTGGGTTCAGGTTTAATGTGCTTAGGTCTTTGGGTCTTGCTTTTGATTTAATCTCTCAGATCTTTTAGCTTAGGTCTCTCTGGGTCATGGGATATTTGGGTCCTGGGTTTTCTGGGTGGTGGGTTTTTTGGGTCTAAGATTCCTTTGGGTTCAAAGGTTTTTGGGTCTTGGTTTTTTTTTTTATATCTCCAGTCTTTTAGCTTAGTAGGTTTCTTTCACATTGGATTTTCTGGTTTCAAGTTTTCTAGTTGTAGATATTTTCATTCTTACATTTTTCAGGTCTCAGATAATTATATTGGGGTCCTTAGAGGTTTTTGCTCTCAGGTTTTAAAAGTGTCAGGTTCATGGGACTTTAGCTTTTTGGTTCTGGGTTTTTGTGGTCTTAGGCTTTTCAGGCCATAGGTATTAAAGGGTCTAAGGTCTTTTAGGTCAGATTTTTTGGGTTTCAGGTTTTTTCTGTTTTAAGATTTTTGTTCCTTAAGATTTGTGTATTTTAGGTTTATCGGGTCCAAGGCAGTTGGGGTCATCGTTTGGTGTTATGTCCTTTTCATAGATTTCCAAGTCTTAGGTTTTCTGAATCCTTTCTGGGTGTGGGATTTCTGGTCCTCACTATTTTTCTAGGTGCTAAGTTTAGGTATTTTCTCCTTACTGTTGGTCTTTATCATCATAATATGATTTAAGAGACAAGCAGTAAGTGAGATGGAACCACTTAGGAATTTCTTTCATGCCTGCATTCCCTAATTTTTGCACTTGTTTGAACAAAGTTTGGGGAGGTTAATGTTAGATTTAGTTGTCACGATTTCTACCTGTGATTGATTTTTTCCTGTTTGGAGTTTGCATGTTATTCTAAGACTACAACAGATTCAATCTCAGTTTTCTAGGTCTAAGGCATTATTGAACATCATTTATCTACCAAATTGAATTTCACGGTGACTGTCATAGGTGTGTGACACACATGAAAATTGGAGCAAGTGCATATTTAGTAGACACTGAGTTGGCTGTTTCCACTTTCAAATTCAGGGGGCTAAACTTTTAAGGCAAGGATTGTCACCTCAAGGAGAAAAACTTTCAAAACAATTTAAATTTCAAATATAAAAATATAAGGAGACTAAGGTATAGCTTGAAGTAAGGAGATTTCTTGGTTATCTTCAGGTCTTTTTTGGTCTTAGATTTTTTTTCTGGTCCCAGTCCTTAGGTATTTGGATTTTTAAGCCCTGGGTTTTTTAGGCTGCTGGTCCTTTGGGTGTGAGAATTTTGGGTCTTCAATAGGTTTTGCATCAAAGGTTTTTTCGGTGTAGTTCATTTAGATTGTGATTGAAGCTACAATTGGATATTGGTAACCACAGACAAATTATATAATTTGGAATGGAGAAATTGGTTACTAGAGAATTTTTACAAAGCCAAACTAAGCTACAAATAATTCTAAGACATACCTCATTGCTCAAATGGAAGCTTTCAAAACAATTACAAATTAGTAATATCTTAAATATTAATAATAGTTAATATTACCAACATCATGCTGACACAATTTTCTTTATATACTTCTGGGTCTTAGATTTCCACACCATAGGTTTTCTTATTCCAAGGTGTATCAGGTTTTCCAGATCTAAGTTTGGTGGGTTGTGGTTTTCCTTTGCTTAGGTTTTCTAGTTCCCGAGGTTTTTTGGTATTAAGGTGTTCTAAGTGTTGGGCTTTTGGGCCTCAGGTTTCTGAATCTTGGATTTCTCAGTCTAAGGTATATTTTTAGATCTTTCTCTTTGTGGGTCCAGGATCTTTTGGGCTGAGGTTTAACCAGTTTTAAGTCTAGGGGTGTTAGAATTTTCTTGATCTCAGATTTCCATGTCTCAGGTATATTTAACGTATTCCTACCATTTCATAGTAAGTATAAGGGTTAAAGGTCTCTGGGTCTCAGATTTCTGAGTCTTAGGCTTCATAGTTTTAGGTTTCTGGGTCATAGTGATTTCTGGGTGTTCCATGCTCTTTTTTTTGGAGGGGGGGGGGTGGTGGGAGAAGGGGGTCTTAGTTAGGTATTTGTCCTAGGAATTTGAGGGAAACATGTCATTCTAGGATTTCCTGGCCTAAGGGTTTCCAGAGTTTTATGATGTTTTAGGATACCAGTTTTTTAGGTTGGCATGATGTTTGTGGTAATATTCTTATATTGAGTACATCAGCAGGCTCATACCACAAACTAATTTTAGGAGTAGTTTTAGTTTGCTTTTCATTAGCTCACCATTTTTCCCCTGGGCTGCATATGTGGCTGAGAAGGTTTCATTTAAATTTATTGCTAAGTTAGATTGAATGCCACTTTATGCAAAGAGCAAATCCTTGATGATTTCACATAAGTTTGACCAGCTATACTTTTCAATATTAAGCCTTACTGAAGATATCTTTTCTGCTTAAGGTAAACACGGTAGGCTACATTTCCATATAATTTAATTTCTTTTTTCTGGTTCCTTTCAGTTTTACAAGTCATGATATCTTCTAGGGTCTCTTGCAGGATTCCATTTTTCAAAACTTAGTTCTGAAGGACATTATTTTTTCTAAGCTTGGTATTGCAAGCTTGATCTTGAAGTAGCTACCAGTAAGTAAGCATAAATTTTGTGCCATGAACTAGCTTCACCAAGAGACATTATTTAGCTATTAACATCATTATTTTAATTTGGTAGGTCATCTACAGTGGTAATGAGCTTGCATATCTACTTAAGTTTTTAGGATATTATTTAATTTCAGATTGCTGGTGGCACACACATTTAGAGGCAAGAACAAAGAAAAAAAATTGAGCCAATCACATCCCTGCTGGGTTGTGGAAGCTCTGTCTGTTCTAAGAAGGTGTGTTTCTGATGTCCTCTGAAATATTCTTACTGAGAAATCCTGTGATGCTTTGTCTGATCCTGAAGTTCAAGCAGGGGACAGTTGGACACTTGGAAGAGTTGGCCACTTGCTCTCAAGTAGGGAGGACAGTGTAAAGGAAGGTGAGAGTTTGCTCTTTTGTCTTTGGGGTTTTGCCTAATTTGTCATGGAATCACACCATCAATTTGACACATTTTGGCCTCAGAAGGTGCTTTTTTGCATTCAATGTATCTCGAAATGTTCCAAAACTAAGGATCATTAAAACAGTTGCACTGAATTGAAGGAGTCAATTTAGGTGCATTTACATTGGGAGTGCGGATTTTTGCTGGATTTCTCTGGTCTGGCTTGACTGGACTCACACAAATGACATCAAATTGAGCTAATAGTTACTGGGGGTCTCTCTGATGGGTTGATACCAAATCCAGAATCTCTCTTCTTTAGTTTTTCATTTAATTATAACTTAAATATAACACAAAATATTAACCATGGGCATAAACATATATAAACATTTTTTTAAACAATTTTTTTTAATTAACTAGCATTTTCTCACTATAAAACCATATTGCTATACTTAAACAATTTTGTTTAATTAGCTAGCATTTTCTCACTATAAAACCATATTGCTATACTTACTATTATTTAGGATCAGCATATTTTTTGCATAATTATACAGCTGCTAAAAGTTGTAAAAGCTAGGCCTTTGCTGGAATAGGGGAAATTTATTCACTTTTAATGAAAGTAGCATATTTATAAGGGAAAATATTAACATTAGCTTTGATAAAAATTATCTTTATTGCTATTTAAGGAAAATTATGACTAATTGTAGGCAAAATTTCTTTTTTTTCACTTGAGGAGAAATTTTTTCATCATGGAATTATTATACCATAATTTTAGGGTTAGTATAGTGTAGTATATATTTTTTTCATTTAACAGGGCAAGAGCATGATCATAAACACTAGACTTATTCATGAATAGGCAGAACTTAATTACTTTTTGATTAAAGAAGCATTTTTTTTCATTAGGAAAAGTGTTAGTTTTAGGATTTACCTTATTCCTTTGTGACTAAAACTTATCTAGTTTTCCTTAAAAAAAATAATGACAAGGGATTAGTGTTAGCATAAAAAGATGGGTATTTAGGTAATATTAATATAATTTTACTACATAGATGTTACTTTTAATAGCCTTCACGTAGCCGTTCGTAGGCTCGTCAAGCAATGGTCCAGTCACAGATAATTTTGTGCCTGGAACATTTTTCGGAATAAGCAGAGGATAAAAGGACATTTTCGCCTTAACTAAAAATATCTAACTGAACTAGGGTTTGAAGCCGATGCAAATCGCATAAATAGATAAAACTGAAGGCTTTAAAGCTTTAGGTATTTTCTTCCATTTCGCTATTATAATCAGCGTTTCCTAGTTTATACTTAGTTTTTAAAAACTTCCTAGGTTTACTCTAGATACTTTTTTCTCTTATTACTTAGTTCAAGGCTCGTTTAGCTTTGTTTTTTGATTGCCTGTCTCCGATCACAGACGTTCTCTGGAGATTTGTTCTTTGGTTTTTTTCCTCCAATTATTCCTTCGCATGCACGTGCATGATTGAAAATTCACAAGGAACAATTCCCGTAGACGTCTTGTGATTTGAAATGGTCAACAAAAAAAACTAAGCCGAATGTGCGGAACTAAATAAAACCTTTTGCAAAATATAATTATTAGAATAAAACTAAACCTTTTCATTCGCCTAAGGATAAGAATAGCGCCAAATTATTTTCACTTTAATTAGGGAGAGATTCTGGTATGGGTATCTTCACTGATAAGAGACA